CGTGTAAATATGTGAAGCATATTTTTTATATTTTTATAATTCTGGAGTTTTATAATTACAATTTCACAAGCATTTGCAAAGCATTAGTAATGGCATGTAATCTTTTGGTACTTAAAGATAAGTGAGAACGTTATGATATTTTGATAGACAATGAATTTAGATTTTATCTTGTCACATTTTTATGTTTTTTAGTCACTGTCAGCCCTAGGTGCTGCAAAACAATACTAAAATTTGATAGATTTTTTTCACTGTCTTAAAAACCTAGCTCAGGGAGATGGATTGATACAGGTAGATGTTTCAAACAACTTAAATATGATCATTAAGCATCCATTTGTTTTATCAGTAATTTCAGTATTCATAGAGTTACTAATTTGTTCTCTCCCATCTTTTTGTTTCCTTGCACTAGTTCCAGATATTAGATTGAAGATGTCAGTTCAAGAACTATTGCTTTTAAGAGTTCTGTGATGGGGAAGGAAGGAGGAAACAAAGACTTTCATCAGTCAGTTGGTAGGGAAAGAAAGAGCATAAAGGGTTAAAAAGAGGTTTTTATTTCTACCACATGCCCTATTGTGTGAACATATGCATAAGTCTATTGAAAGTTTTCAGAAGATGGGCAAGCCACCAGTTGCTGGTCTCCTGCAGCTCCAGTAGACATCTGTTGCCCTGGAGCATTAACCAATCTGTTCAAAGGGACATCCTTCCTTTGTTAGCTAGAGCCATGCAGACAACAGCACTCACTGAAATACACTGGTAATTAAATACATGGAGACTACAGCAGTAGGTAGTTATTACATATTCATTATTTTATTTCCATTGTTCTCTTAGTATTACCATTTGGCTAACAACCAGAACCGACTTTACGATATTGTAACTTTACATTACAAACAAATAAATTGATGAAACAAGTTTATGGTCTAATATTCCTGATAAATGTGAGGCTCTTTAGAATATTTTTTAAAAATATATTTGATTTGAGAAGGATTATCCAAGTCATCTAATGAGAACTTTTAAGGAAATCTCACTGAATGGAGAATTTGTATGTATGCAACAAATTTCTAGTAAATAGCCATTATGTCATTGCTAAGATAAAGTTTCTTTTGGCCATTAAAATAATCATACTTAATCATCATTTACAAAATTATGAAAATTTAGTTCTCTTTAAACAAATATTATTTGATTTTTAACTTCTCAGGCCTTTATCAAGAAAAATTGTTTTTATTTTCAGTATAGTATCTGGAAGGAATATGTAGCTTTGTAAGTGTAGAAATCTGTTCTCAGACCATTATATTTTTGCTCAATATCTTTTGTGTTTAGGAATATACTATGTAAGACCAGTTATAATGGATTCCTGATATAAAGCTTAAAAGTTAGGCCATATTTCTTGGAGTTTTTTTGATAACTCTTAAAGTTATCAAAGTATAAGCTGACCGGTGTTGTCTGTGAAACTTGGTCTGTGCTGCTTCTCCATGAACTGAGGAGGATGACCCATATCAGTTAATAGTTGATTAATTTAACAGTGATTTGTATATGCTTCCTTTCAAGTAAATATGAAATTTAAAGTCTAATAAATGGCTTAGAAATTAAAGAGAAAAATATTTTCTATATTACATGTAATAAATTTTATGATGTTATTAGAGTCTTTGCTATCTTTTCTTTTTACAAAATTATATTGGTCATTTTTAAGGCACTAAACAAAAGATCATATACCATTCCTTATCCTAAGATTTCTTATGATAATTACTTGTAAGTTTTATACATTACATTACATTGACATGTACTGCAGCATATAACAATATTTTTATCAGTTTTTAAATCTGAGCAGTTAAGTTTTATTGAATGATTTCAAGATATTGCCATATTCTTTTCTAAGTCCCATATTAAGTTAGGGAAATATTTTACAACTTACATGTCAGGAAGGAAGCATTTTAGAGGCTAAAGTTTAAATAGGAAACAAATTTTACCATTTAGGTCAATACAAATCAGGTTGTTTCATATTTATATTAGGTAGTAGAGAAAATGTATGCAGTTTATGGGCCTGGTATTTGAACTCAGTTGACCTTATCTGTACTATATTCATACTTGGTTGACATAGATACTAAAAATTATTCAACTTGGTGACATTGAATAATTTTCTCTGAGGTAACCAATTAAATCTGGAAGATGAAGAGAGGCCTATCAATGTGAAAAAAAATAAATCGATCTTTTTAAAAAATATATTTGCAACAAAATTAGATGTTAAAATTTTAAAAAGTAGGTTAGATTAAACTTTCATTTATCTTTACTAGTAAAAATCATATTTCAGACATTGTTTAAACCATACGTATAAACTACATGAATTATCAGAAGTTAAATATGTGTGATACTCACTAAGTACATTTGTAATCAAATGAGTTACCTGCTTTAGTATTATAAAAAGCAAACAACCATTATTTCATTTTTCTCTTTATCATAGCCATACAATAAAATTATATAGCACATTTACATAATATCAATACTTTTTTAGTTAAATTGAAGGTAATATAGAAAGATTTAAACACTCTTTAGAGTAGCTAATTTTCATATTAAAAACTTCACAGTACATGGTTTTGTTTCTTTGAAAAATATAAAAATCAAGAATAATTTAATTTGCACATAAACATAACTTGCATTCTAATTTTTTGCCCTGGCTGTATTTTTCATAAATCTTGTTTGAAACAGTCTGTAAGAAAAACACTACAGCTCAAAATTAAAATAATACCTCCTAGTTTAATTTAGGGATTTGGTCAGTGAATTATCTTGAAGAATTATCTCACAACAGTACTTATGCAAAACCCAAACTTTTCAGAGGAGATCAGAAATGTTGCCCATTAAATATACTTCCTGCAGTCAGAGCAGATTGTGGGGTTTACAGAACAATGATGTCGGAGCTTCCAGATTGGTTTGGCAGCTTCATTGTTCTCCGAGGGTAAACCAGACGCACTTAAGTCCCAGTCTCTTTTATAGGCTTTTGTTCATACCAAATTATTCTTTCACTGTGCTAGCATTCATGATGGCATGTTAAAAGAGCGCAGCTTAGCAACCAGCTTTTTGTTGCCAGGCAGCCCAGCTTCCAATAGGTTTTCCTTGTTTAAGATACTTTTGGTGGGAGCTCTGTGAAGGCCACAGTGCGGATTTTTCTTTTAACTGTATCCCTTTATTAGGATGCTGTTGTGATTTGTTACTTGCATTATGGTGTCAGTGTATTACAGTAGTTAATAAATCAGTGAGTGTAAAGATTTGCTTTCAAAATCCCTTCTTTTAATTCTAAATAATTGGGCTCATGCATATCCATATTAATAGAAAAAAATAAAATGGATACAGCTTCATAATGGAGCAGATGTATGTGGAGTTCTCCAAAGGAATATTTCTTTTTATCAGTTGTGCAATCAGGAGCCAGGGGAGTTTGATGTTTCTTTAAAACTAATGAATGTTTCATTAGTAAAATAGTAAGTTATTTGTCTTCTCAAAGGATAAAATCTGTAGAAACTCCTGTAGAAATGTGTAGGAGTTCTACACTGAAGGAATTTTAAGTGTATTGTATCAAGCTAAAGACTTCCATGTTCTCTTCTCTAGTATTTACCATATCTATTATAATTTATTTCATTATGTAGAAATATTTAACTCTCTAGTAAGTTCACCAAATGTGCATTCAAATGACTTAAAAAACACACTTCGTATTCTCTTTTAACATTTGTATAATAGCTCCTTTCTAGTGTAAATAAGATGTTGAAGAGCTTTAGAAGGGAATGTTTTTCCAGTTTCTTTTTTAAGGTTATTTAAATAGGTATTTTATAGAGTCTCAAATTCAGCTACCACTAGCTTACTAATATTATCTATGGATATAACACCAGAACTACCTTTAATAAGTAAACTACTGAGATAAACATAATCCATACAGTGAAGCACAGGAGAAAATAATTTTATTTTGTTAACCTGTTCCTGGTAAAGAAGTAACAGTTATTCCCAGTAGACTATAAGGAAAACAGTAAAACAGCAAAAGCATTTTTTTGGTAGAAGTAGGAGGAAAAGATGACTTTCTAATCAAATGCAGATAATGGTTAATTAATTACCTGATATGATATAGAAATAGTTTTCTGCTATAAAATTCAAGAAATTAAGATAACATTATTCAGTGTACCTAATTACTTGCTGCTGATTTTATGTAAAATACTTTATTTCTCTGCTTTTTATAGATGTGCATAGAATAAAAGAGCTTTTCCTTGCTTCCTGGAATGAAATAGACTGTAGTGTCCCAGTGCTTAGTAAGGGTATGACATTAAAATAGTCACAAAACAAAGATTATTAGGGGAAAAGTACTTATCTCTGAACTGGAATATAATTATAATTATGTAATTCCTTGTTAGTTGTTACTGAATATGTGCTATTTAACTCAGTACTGGAATTATTTTTGAAATGTCTTTAGATTGTTGTTAAAATTATTAATTTTATAATTAATTATACTTTTACAATCATAAAAGTTAATGTTTTCCTTTCTTTCCACATAGCTTTCTCTTTAAGAGAAATTTTACACAAGCTTTTTTATGAATTCTTTTAGAAAAAATGTACCTTAAGTATCATAGCATATCTAAAAATGCTTTTTGACAGTATTCTATATGTCACTCCAGAAACACTGGTAGGCCTTTCTAACAGTGGAAAAGTCTCTTCCATGAAGGCTGAAAAGCAGCGTGATAGTGGGAAGAATAGGGGTTTTGGAGTCAGACAAAAATTGGTTTAAAAAATCCAGTTTCATTACTTATTTACTTCATTGCCTTGGAGGGGTCATATGGCCTTTCTGATTTCTAACATCATTTGCAAAACCGGGTGTGATACTGTCTAGGCAAAGGTGTTGAGGCAGGAGAGAGAGTAGATATAATCTGGAGTGGGTATTTATATATAGTTTGGTGATTCTCTTCCAACTTGAGTATTGAGACAAATGAAATAGTAAATATGAAATTCTAAATGTTTTCACGTTTTTTCTATAGGAATACGGGGTGCTTTGCATTCAGGAATATAGGAAAAACAGCAAAGTGGAGTCAAGTACACATAACAGCTTCATGGGCTTGAAGGATCATCTGGGGCATGACCTAGGCCACCTTCATGTGGAGAGCACTGACCCGCATTTAAGTACATCTGTACCTTGGCCAATGGTAGAAAAACCAACAATGGATAGAGTTAATTCTGGGAAGGAAGAAAAAGAGGTGTCTGAAGAGAATGTGAGCTCTGGTGACTCAGAAGAAAGCACAAATTCTGATAATGAGTCAGAGCAACTGAGTAACATTTCAGTAGAGCCATGTTTATTAACCAAGACTCACAGACAGCTATGTAGGTCTCCCTGCTTAGAGCCGCCTCACATACTTAAACGCAGTGAAATTTTACAAGACTTTAAACCCGAAGAGGCCCAGACTATATCCAGGGAAGTGAAGAAACCCCCTGATGCTGTGCGAGAATACCAAACAAAACTGGAGTTTGCACTTAAGTTAGGCTATTCTGAAGAACAAGTTCAGCTTGTGCTAAACAAACTTGGTACTGATGCTTTAATCAATGATATATTGGGAGAACTTGTCAAACTTGGAAATAAAAGTGAGGCCGAACAAACAGTTAGTACAATTAACAGTATAATGCGGGAAACATCCTCCCTGGAATCTCAGCGGTCCGATTCTCCAATGCAAGAGATGGTAACAGATGACGGAGAAAATCTGAGACCAGTAGTTATCGATGGCAGCAATGTGGCAATGAGGTAAGTGGGAAAACCTTCATTGTGACTGTTTCTCTTCTAACAGTCATTACAGTCAAGGTTATTCTCCATCCTGACATTAGCTTGCATATTCTAACTGTACCTCTTTAAGTTTTTTCTACTTCCAGAGTGGTCAGCCATGTTCACCCCATTTGTCCCTACATAGAGACCCCCTTTTCCCAGATGTCTCCTTGTTTCCTCTCCTGGCTCCATTAGCACTTGTTCCCAGTTTATAGTGTTAACCACTAGCTTTAAGTGAAGAACTTGAGTACCATAGTATTCAACAATTTTGGAATCTAGTCAGATAGCTAGACAGTTTCTACACAAAGTCAAATAACCAGAAGGAAAATAAACTATTTTTATGATTAGGGAACAAATCAAAGCTATGGTTTCAGATGGTTTGTTTTCTTTAAGGACATAATTCAGATATAATTCTTTAGGAACTAGGCACGGTAGAACAAACACAGAACTTCTCGTGAAACATTTTTGTAAATTTTGATGGCATAAAATTTAAGCACATCTAAATTCAGTTAGTACTATGTGGTTAAACTTCCCTCAGTGTTCAGAACACTGAGGATATATATATATGTCATCAGTTCTTTTATAGAGTTAGAATTTTATATATTGTTTCTTAGAGGGTGACCTGAGGGTACCTAGAATCATTTTAGGGTCCCACAGAATCATTGGGACCACTTGTTAAAAATGCACATTCTAGAACAGTGCTGTTCAGTGGAAATATAATGTGTGGCATATATGTCATTTTTAATTTTCTGGTACCTACATTAAAAAGTTAAACAGGTACAATTAATGTGAACAAAATAACAACTATTTTGTTCAGTCTCATATAGCCAAAATATTATAACATGTAATCATGTAAAAATTGTTAATGAGATGTTTTGCATTATTCCTTTTTTTTTTTTTTAATATTTTATTTATTTATTTTTTGAGAGAGGGGAAGGGAAGGAGAAAGAGTGGGAGAGAAATATCAATGTATGGTTGCCTCTCATGCATCCCCTGTTGGGAACTGGCCTGCAACCCAGGCATGTGCCCTGACTGGGAAGCGAACCGCGATACTCCGGTTCGCAGGCTCGCGCTCAATCCACTGAGCTATGCCAGCCAGGGCGCATTATTCCTTTTATATATGTTAAAATCTAGCATCTGACACAACATGTCTCACTAGTGGCTACCATATTGTGCAGTGTGGTTCTGGAGACCTCCCAACTTCAGACACAGGCCTATTGAGTCCAGTCAAGGTATAGCCTGGGCACCTCCTTCTGTAAAACATAGCCTGCTAATAACGATGCCTACTGAAATTTGAGAACCACTGTTTTTAGTAGGTGGTAACAAGTACTTCTTCCTAGGGTATGAGAAAGATCAACTTCTAATCCTCCAAATTACCTTTTCAGGTGGAAGCTGTATTATCTTACTTGCCTTTATAAGCAAATGAGACAAGATTTAAATTACTTGGCCAAGTTAGAATGTAATTTCAACCCAAATATGTCTAACTTCAAAGTGTATACATTTTTAATCATATAATGAAGGATGAAAGTAAGTCACAAAGATTGAAGGCAGATCTTACAAGGCCTTGAATGCCAGGCTAGGAAATTTAAGGTTGGCTCTAATCCAAAGTTAATTGAAAAATTTGAGGAGGGGAATGCCAAGAGTGGAGTTATTTCTTATACTGACATTTGGCTTGGTTGTTTAGAGTGGATTATAGGAGGTAGGAGATAAGCTTGGATGCAGAAAAACACTTTTATAAAGAGGGCTTTAAATGTCATAGAGGTTTGAAGTATATGACCTTGAGAAGTCTCTTGGTAAAATAATCTCTCTGTTTAATCTGTCCCAAACTTGGCCACATAATGACTTTTTTGTTTATAATAATCCAGAACTAGTGAGCAATCACCTTAGCAGTGTGGTAACATGCAGGGTCAAAATGCCATGAATTTGCCAATGGAGAGAGTAATGAGGGAAGATGTAAGAGATCCGAGCAGAACACCTGCAACATGGCCATGCACCACAGTCACCAAAGGGTTTCTTACAAATGCATCTTCCAGGGCACTGCTCTCAAAGAACCTGATTCAGTGTGGAGCTCTTGTAGAACCCAAGTAACTACATTTTAAGGGCCAAGGCATTTTTTATGCATAACTTGTGTTGAAAACAACTCAAGATGAAAAGTGTGGATATCTACAGGTCAGGAGGTAAAAGAAAGTGAGGATCCAGGGGAAAAGTGGTGTGAAAGACATGTATTAGGAGAAAGGCATAGTGTTAGAAAAGCCAAGAGACATACAAATGTCCTCAGACTCAAAGAGGAAGAGACTTTTAAGGAGAGAATATCTTGTGGGGTGTACTGAAAAAGAAAAGATCAGAGGACAGTGACAGGCAGGAAGTAATTTCCTTTAATACCATGTGCCATTCTTGAAGACAGTACCATGTGGCATTAAAGATAGAAGCCCAGTCACAGGATGTCAAGAAATGAAGGAGTAGAACCAGACTTTTATTCTAGAGAGTTGAAAGAGGAAGGGAAGAATGGGAGGAAGAAAAATGGGGAAAGGATTTTGTTGAGTTTTGTTTTTAAGAATAACACTATATCAGCTGGGAGGACAGGGAAAGTGTCTCCACAGAAGAGGAGCTGAGCATGAGTTTAATTTCCAAAGCAAAGTTCTGAAGGAGGAGATAAGAAAGGCGTAAGTGGAGAATTTGGCATTGGAGGTAAATGCAGGTATTGGAGGGGAAAGACAGCTTTAGACTTATAAAACTTGTAACCCATAGAAATGAATTTTTAAGATGGATATTATTTAGATAAGTTATGTCACAGTTGGGTCATTCTGACATCAACTCACATGACCGAAACCCAGTTCTTCATGGAAATGAAAAGTACTTGGATAACTGAAAATTTACCAAAAACTCGGAAGGTTGCTCACCCCACACAGTGAGAATTATCCACAGAAAAACTATAATGTGAAAAAAAGGTGGCATAATCAAGGCATTTCAGCTCTTCTCTTACATAATTAGGAAAACAAACTTCTGTCCCCACACTGTTCTGGCACCATCCTGTTTCCTTTGCTGTAAAGGTGAGGCAGTGCAGAGTCTTTCTCTCCATCAGAGAGATTTTATTCTAACACTTACTGGAGTGCTTCAGGCATTTCGGGACAGAGCAAGTTGACAAATTTTTATTGTAGCAGTATATTATACTGACAGTATAATAAAAGGTACCGCCTCCATAGCTTTGAAGTACCAGAACTCATAAAAAGTCGTAGTAAACTTTTTTATAGTCTGCCATTTATAAGACCTACATAAAGTAGTCAAGTCATGTAAAAATGCATTATTTACTTTGGGTCCAAAATCTTAATTTAACTAAAATACAGAGAGATTTCACCCATTCCATGTTGAATTAACTGTGACATGCTCTTACTTTTGACATTAATTTCTTATTCATATGTTTAGAAGACCTATTATATATATATATATATATATAGTAACAGTATAATAATAAGTAAATGTGGGGGTGGAGTAAGAATAGAGTACTATTTTTCTTCTGATCTCTCAAACAGATATATCCCCTATATGATAAATATATTTTGATCTCATTTAAATGCTAGCCATGGAACTGATATAAATGATTCTTTTCAATAAGCAATAATCGCACCTTGGATAAACCTCATTGACTATGATACTGCCACTGTGCAAAGCTGTCAGTGATTCTTTAGACATAACTTAAAAGTAGGAAAACAAAAGCATTTTTATTAAAATAAGCAAAATAGACTTAAACATTTAAGTCTCTACAGACTACCATTGTGATTCCAAGTAAGTTGTTTAAACTCTCCAGCCTCAGTTTTCAAAATTATAAAAAGGGGAATTTTTTATCTTGCAGGCTTGTTGTTAAAATTAGAGATAAATAATACTAGGTACCTGGCATATAATAAGTGCTGAGTAAACTAGAGTTGTTATTACATTAAGGAGCCAGAATATGGTAACTAATGTAATGAAAACTTAGTTATCCCAGTTTTTCATTCAATATTTAACATATAGCAATTTAGCAGTTTATTTTATTATGACCTATAGGTGTTTTTAATTTGTACTTCAAATTTATGACATCAGTGGTTTTCAATGATGATTTCTGCAATTTCATAAAGAGGACTTGGGCTCTTAGATCTGGGTAACTCCAGAATTGCCCAGTGACAAGCCACATAGTCAGAGTACCTAGCAGAGGGTCTCAAAATTGCAGGGATTCTGTGTTACCTTGGGGAGCATGCTTCTACTTTTGGCTTATTTAATATCCTTTCTAAAATGTGCTACCTTGATAGAAGCTCTGGGTGAGTTCATTGAATGAGCAATTCACCAAAAATTGAGACAAATACCTGGAACTTAGTCTAGCATAATTTGTGATAGGTATTTCACTGCTAGATACAAGAACAAAGAGGACATGAGTATGCAAAAATAGAAATTAGGGTAAAGTGAATTAGAGAAAACCCTAAACTTTTGCATATAAAATGTTAAGGATTCAAAAAGTGCTTGGTTTCTGAAACATGAAATTTACAGTTAGTGAAGCTGTACTAACAATTCCTTATAAAAAGCTGCAGTCAATTTTAATTCTTAAAAAAATACTTTCAGTAGTTTAGCAAATTGGTCATTCATCAAATAGGCCTCTTTTAGGGAAGATATTTCATAATATAAATGTGCCATGAAATATGTATTCCAGATACAGACATAGAAATAAAACATAATTAATATTTAGTATATTTCTGAAATGAAATTATTATTATATTGTGATTTTTTATTTTTCCCAAGTAGCTTTACAAGTCTTCAAAATGTGTGCTTCTTTCTATTCAACTTGATGTAGTTCAGCAGTGGAGTATAGAACCATAGAATTAGTCCCTATCCACATGTGTCCCATAGTTTGAATTCATTTTTTCCTTAAATGAATCCAGCACTCTTTTAATCTGTGGTTTTAGGTTCAGATGACATGACATATCATAACAAAGCACAGTCGTGTGAGCCATCAGGGATGGGAGTATGATCAGTTGGATATCCAAGCCCTGTGGTTCCTAAAAGTCCTTGATTTCTTCAGTAGGCTCTCATGACCTGGTAACCTGACTTTATTAACTGTATCTCCATATTCTACTTTAGCTTCTACCAAGTATTATATAAAATAAGAACAAGAAAAATCTCAGTGCCTCATCCCTACCTCTCTATTATGCTGTAGCACAAGTTCTTCTGTTGAGTTGAATAGAAGCTACAAACTTTTTCTATACAAAGAAACTATTGAAACTCCACTGCCACCACCCACCATTATAAGTCTTCTGTCTTGGTCAGTGAACCCAAGTTTCTGGGATTAGATCAAGTCTGACTGGTAGATAAGACTTATTGGTGCATATTTGTGCAGAGTATTAGAACAGATATTTTTTTTTTTGCTAATAATCTTAGGTGAACCGCTTTTAGCCAGTAGGATTCATTCTCTTGTTGCCTCTCTCTTAGTAATAGAAAACCACCAAAAGAATTTAAGTGAGGATGAAGTGGCATGTCATCGGTCTTTAAGAAAGATCACTCTACAGAGACACTTAGAGAAAAACATGAACGCTAAGACTGCAGACACGGAGACCTACTTCTATTTTTAAAAGGCATGCAGAGGTTAAATTGTAGGCATCTCCCAGGAAAAAAAAGATGAACTAAGAATGTCATTACTTTTGTATACCAGTCAAATGGTACAGAATAGAGAAATAAAGCAATTGAAATTAATTGTATAATACATTTTGTTAATTCAATGTATGAAATAATCATTTTAGAACACAATCAACATAAAAGTTATTTCATATATTTTCGTACTAAGTTTTCAAAATCTGGTATGTATTTCTATACAAAGAAACTATTGAAACTCCACTGCTACCACCCACCATTATAAGTCTTCTGTCTTGTATAGAAATAAAGCAACCATTTGCTTGATACTTTATACCCCAACCCCCCAAAAGGAACCTGTTAGAAACACTCAGATAGTACAAATCTGAGTGTTAACTGGAAGTAGAAAAGCACTCCAGATCCATCCTTAAAGTCATTTACTTAAAGTTGAACAGAAACCAAATATAGATTTTAGTATTAGAATTTGAACAGAGAAAATGTGTAAGTTGTGATAACCTATCAAGAACAGCCCATATACTTATAAAATAAAGCAAAGTTTAACAGTGTGTATAAAATAGGGTTTAAGCTTCTGATAAATCTTTTTAAAAACACAAAGCCTTTCATGTATCTCATCTAGTTTGTGAAGTTATATAAGAAATTGAGAGTTCTTTTCGATGGCAATTGAATTTTTTATTTTTATTCATTGATTTTTAGAAACAGAGGAAAGGGGAGAGAGGGAAACAATCAATTTGTTATTCCACTCACGTACACATTCATTGGTTGATTCTTGTTTGATACTGATTCTTAGGTGACCATGGTCAAGCCTGCAACCTTGGAGCATTGGGACAGTGCTCTTAGTTACCTGGCCAGGGTGTTAATAGAATATTGAAGGCTATTTTGAACTTGCCTACAGTAGTTAGGAGGGTTTGCTGTCATGTTGCCAGTTTGCCATTTATGTGCAGCACTGACTTGTAGTTAATAAAATCCTACTGGACACCTAGTCTACATGTTTGGTGTAGACTGTAGGAGAGACTACCAATTGCCACAATTCATTCAAATTTGTTTTTTGTCCCTCAACAACAGTGTATTGAAATGATGTGCCATGGACCTAGGTGACCCAGTGTGGTAACTGCTAGCCACATATAGCAATTGAGCTCTTAAAATGTGTCTAGTCTAAATTGAAATATTCTAGAAGTGTAAAATACATACCAGATTTTGAAAACTTAGTACAAAAATATATGAAATAACTTTTATGTTGATTATGTTTTAAAATGATTATTTTATGCATTGAATTAACAAAATGTATTATAAAAATTAATTTCAATTGCTTTTAACTTTTTAAAAATGTGCTGTACTACAGCATTTAAAACGATATATGTGGTTCACATTACATTTCTATGGGATAGCCTCTCAGTAGAATGTTGTAAGTCCTAACTTAGTAGGGGCTTAATATCAATTATAGGACAGCTTAATTTTTCTCTAGGTGAGTGTCATAGGTAATTATTACAGGTTACTTCCCCATTTTTCGTACTGTTTTAAAGGAAGTCCTTAGAGACTACAAAAAGAATCGAAGAATTAGAACTAGTTTTTGTGTTGTGTAATTAGATCATGTGGAGTCTGAAAAAGACAAATATTAGTTATAGTCTACTGCATCTCTTTATAACCCTAACTATGTAATTCCAGTTTTCATCATACATGAATTTTAATAGACCAATGGTCAATAAACTTCCCTGTTACCTCAGGTAAGATTTGTTTAAACCCTACCCCAGGACACAGCAGCCTCAGTAGTCCTATTACATATGAATAAAGTTAACTACAGTTCATCTGACTAGTGTTAGCAAATGATCAGAAGTGGGGAAAGTTACCCAATTATAAGAAATAGGGAAAAGTGATTAGAATTGATGTTTCTGACTTTTATTAATATTGAAAACATTTTTATACCTATTTAACAGATATACTCTCTTGAGCATTTTTAGGCTAATCACCCCCTTGGATCTGGATTAGCTAGATGTGCTTCCTGTTAGCTTTGGCTTCAAATTGTGGACCTTATAAGTTCAAAGGAATCTTTCTTCTTTCCTTTTTTCTTACCCTTTCCCATTCTGAAAACTCCCTCTCCCCCCACCACCCCCTCCACTGCTGTTACATGCATACCACCTGGAGGCTGTTAGTGAACCACTTCACATCAAGACTTCCATTGTAATTTTGATGTTGGATATTTTCATTGTCCTAAATCAGTGATTTCTTTGACTCTTATTTTCATTTAAAGCAGTACAATCCTGCAAATATTGCATGGAGGCCCAGTACTTAAAACAAACAAAAGCAGAGATCTGTTTGAATTGGGGGTCACAGGGGGATGTGTTTCCCACCTGAAGATTGTCCCTGCCCCTAGAAGGGCCTCAGAGCAACACTGTGGAATTTCTGTCTGTTTGGAACACAGCCTGATGAACATTTATTAAATGATCTGTAATAGGGGAGCATGGATTAACTTCCTGGTGGTATGTTCAGGATTTGGCATCCTGACAACTACTAGATTTAAGCTTCAAAGTGATCTCAAAAAAGAAATCAGAGATAATAAGTTGAGTAGTAAGAAGAGTGACAAAATGGGCATCAATCTGTAGTATAAAAGGAAGAATTCTAGATGCCCGTGAGTCAGCACATGGAATTAATAGGTTCTTAAATAAAATATGAAACTTAATTAGATAACAGTGATAGAAAGTAAAATACCCTTGTTTCCATATTGAAGATGCTATCCAGCTGCACTCCTGCCTCCCTACTTAAGGAATGTAGGGTAGATGTAAGAGAATTTCTTTGTAATGCTCATTAAACATGGAAAATGTGTAATGAAGAAGGTCTTAAAGGTATACTTTCAGAATTCTTTTTATTTATTTTTTATTTAAAAAAGATTTTATTTATTTTTAGACAGAGGGGAAGGGAGGGAGGAAAAGAGAGGGAAACATCAATGTGTGGTTTCCTCTCTCACACCCTCAACTTGGGGCCTGGCCTGCTACCCAGGCATGTGCCCTGACTGGGAATCGAACCTGCAGTCCTTTGGTTCATAGGCCAGCACTCATTCCACTG